CGCGCTTTGAAGCTGAGACTGAGAGCGATAATAATAATAATAATAATAAATAATCATAACCCTTGCATTTGATACAGCGTCTCAAAGCGCTTCACAGCATATACTGTAAAGTGAATTGACTGAGTATTTTGTGGGCGAAACGTAGAGTAGAAATTGCTAATTGCGAGGCCAGATAACTTGCAGATAGTTCCCGTAATCCCAATAGTGATGACTTTATTAATGATGACAATATGATTTAATAGTTTAATTTAATGTTCCTATCTCTTCAGGCCGTGGCGAAATGCTGTGACATTTACTGGCTGTGTAGCAGCAGTGCTGAGAATGTCGCGGGTGATTTGGTGTGCAAGGCTCCTCAGCAAAATATTATTCTGCTGTGTGAAACAGCTTTTAACAATGAATCAATAAGTGTAATTGACTTGGAGGTATAACTCTGCCACTTTTCCATGGTGTTGTAACATGCAGCTCGCGGGTTCAAGCCAACATTTCCTCTTGTTTTGCCTCACCATTCCGTTAATACGAGGGCTGTTTCTCTTTAATGAAATTCAGAAAGTGTTAAGAGGCGACCCTTTCCAAACTGGCAAGCTGCTCCCTGAATAAACACAAGCCGATCCCTTCGGATCGATGGATGCGGCAGGATTGAAGGGTTCCTGTGATTTTATTGTGGGGCAAACAATCCTTCCAATTGATACAGCACCTATCACGTTGTAACATCTCCAAACGATTCACGGGTAAATTAGGGTCAAGTTTCGTGGCTTTGTAGTTATAGGAAAAGGTGACAGCCAATTGTGCACACTAGCAATGCCTGACAAACAGCCATGAAGTGAATGACAAACGCATCTGGAGGATTATTGCTGATTTTGGAAATTAGGACTGATGCGCTTTGGAAAGAAGAATAAAGAAGTCGACGATGGGCAAGTGCTCTAACCCATACACCGCAATAGAGTCCTGCGGCATATTGGTTAAAGCGATCGCCTTGCAAACGAGAGGACCTGGGCTTGATTCCCGGGCAGCGCAAAACCTTAGGCAAGTTTCCTTGCTCCACACGCTTCACAAAATATACAGTCAATTCATTTTACAGTATATTCTGTAAAGCATTTTGAGACGTCTCAATGACGAGGTTCTACCATCTAGAGTATAATAATAATTATAATACTTGTATTTGATCTCCACATCATTGGGTCTCGGTGTCTATCATTCATTCCCTGGTTAAAATTAATTAACCCATTTAAAATCCTATGTTTTTATTTTTTCTAAATTTTTAAAAAAATCTTTTTTGGTGCCATGTCGTTGACAGTGAAATCTTTAAAGGAAACCTTCTTCGGTGTGTACAAGTTCCTCACCGTGATTTTCACGAAGAAGCTTGTAGACGATTGACAGTCTTTCCATTTCAGGTGAAGAATAAGGATACCATTGTCATGTATAAACAGCGCAAAGTGCTTGTCACATCTCCAAGAGATTATGGTGATGCGTTCAGGATATTGAGTGAAGGAAGAGTTTTAAATATTCAGAAAGCCTCATGAAAACTTGATGACGGACAAGCACTACAAAAGGTGGCGGGGAAGGGAAGGGTGAATCAGAAAAAAAAAACATAGTTATTTACTTTCAAATACATTCGCGGTAAGGGTGAAATCAGAATATTGCTTATGCTGCGTATAAAATTGGAATAATATTAATGTTAGAAGTTAGCAGCTGCCTCTACATCAATCCTTTACAGTGTCTAATAAGCTGTCTCCGATATCTCTGGTGTGCCTGACTCAAGCCTTTAAATCTCTTTGCATGGCTGGCATCTTGCCAAGTGCCCTGACCCCCATCCTCTCCACCTTCTCACCACCAGGTACTTTCTCCCTTTTAAGCACCACCATCTATTCAGTTCCACCCCACAAAATACAGAGTCGCTTCACTTCTCAGTATATTCTGTGAAGCGCTTTGAGACGTCTCAACGATGTCAAAGTGTCATGCCCCGTCAATTCAGTGTTGGGCTCCGTCTTTGAAACCAAAGAAGTGGTTTGAGCCCAAAGTGCCTTCTTTCTGAGATCATGTAACAATGAGCCAGTTGCTATGACCAGCTCGATGATCAAACAGACACAGCACGGTTTAAACCTTCAATCCATCTACCGCACGACCCAATGAATCGCCTTACAGCTCTATCAATGTCAAACAGGGACCTAAATCAGATGGGGCACAAACATGAGTGTATTGATGAACGCTAATCTCAGATCAGAACAAAAGCACTGACGGTCGTTCTCTCAATCAACCTTATCCAAAAGAGGTTTCAATTTCCGAAAAGGTCCCGTCGCTAGATTTTTATCTCCGCAGGTTCTGTGATGTGGAATGTCTGTGTGCAATTATTTCTTCTGAACGCTATCAGAAATGGGAAGGCTAAATTGATATTTATATTGCTCGGGCTAATCGTTGATAAGCAGAGAGGTTTGCTTGTGTCTTGTGCAATAATGGACCCATCACTTCCCATTTTATAGCGGAACTGCAGGCTGTCACTGCACAGGAACATTTGAAATGATGCCGCCTTATCTCTGGCTTTCCCTCACAATTAGATGTTGGTGCATCAAGTGCCTCTCTTCTCTGAAGTTTGCGGAATTATTTAAATTCCTTTCCTGGGCCTTGTGAGTGAGATAAAAAAGGCTCAAAGCCGAATCAGAGAAAGGGGGAAAAAAAAGGCAAAGAGATAGATCTTCGCTGTGTTGGTGAATCACAGTTCGCTGAAGCGAAAATAACATGGATTTTGTAGCTTGTTACTTAGCAACAGTGAAGTAGTTCTGGTATCCTCAGGGGTCTGGATGTATTCAATGGGTAAGGAAGCTCCTGAAATTAGTTAGAGGGGCAGAAGATGTCCAGCAATGATTTATCTTAATATGTAAATCGATATGCAGCATCACATACCTCACAAGATCAGAGAAAGATTGGTTTGAATGAAGAAAGCTATTTAGCCCATTTGATTTCATCCTTCCAGAACACCCACCCTACCATCTTCCATTCAAAGCATGTTTTGCCCATAAAATATACAGTCAATTCACCTTACAGTATATTCTGTGAAGCACGTTGAGACATTGTGAAGACCTGAAAAGGCGCTGTAACAAATGCAAGGATTATTATTATTATTATTATTGTTATTATTATTGTTATTATTATTAAGCTGTATTTTAAATGAGTCCAGTATTCCGGCCTCAACCACTCTTCCCATCATCCCTGTTCCAATTGTTAATTACATTCTGGTGAACGAAAAAACGCGCGATGAGGCGCTATGTCAAATGCAAGAATTATTATTATTATTATTATTTTATTATTATTATTATTATGACCGTGATCTGGGTTTACCTTTTCAATTCTGTTTAAAATGTTATACACTTTCATGAAGTCTCCTCCACGACTTATAATAATAATAATAATAATCCTTGCATTTGATATAGTGCTTTTCACGTCGGGAGGACGTCCCAAAGCGCTTCACAGAACACACTGTAAAGTGAATTGACTGTATATTTGTGGGCGAACGCGGGAGCCAATTGCGCAGAGCAATGTCCCACAAACAGTCGTAGATTAAAAATGACCAATTTATTATTGTTTTTGGTTTTTGGAGGGATTATTATTAGGCTCTGTGCGGAGTAAGGAAACTTGCCCGAGGTTTCGCCCTCTGCCTGGAATTGAACTCAGGTCTCTCGCTTGCAAAGCGAGTGCTCTAACCACTGAGCTACAGGACTCCACAAGACTGAAGGAACATCTTGATTCATTGCTCATAGCTTACTCCTCTAACACTAGGGATCAACCTTGTTGCTCTCCGCTCAGGTCTGGGCAGCCCGCTTATATCACAGTGACCAGAGCAATATGTGCCTTGAGTATGAATTCTGAGGATACGAATCCAACTGCTTTGGCAATATAGCTCAGCATTTCTGTTTGCCTTGTTTATTGCTGGCTCTCCCTGTTTTGACATAGTGAGCAATGAGTCAACTAAACAACTCTTAGATCAATTTGAGCTCCCCCCTTGGCAAAGGGTACGTGTGTCTTATCCTTATTTCCTGTCTGTAGCACCTTGCTTGCATCTGTTTCTTAACAGGCATCTGAAGAAGAAATGTGGGACTATCCAATTTCTGAAGTCGTGGAGGAGACTTCAAATGAGCTAAAGAATCTTTTCCTGCAAAAAGAATCACTACAACAGGCACTAATTACCGTGATGAGCTTTGAGAAGGTTTGATGTGATCATATGCTTCTACAAGGACTTCAGTACTTTCTTTCCTCTCATTTATAATAATCCCTGCATTTGATGTAGAGCCTTATCCCGTTGTCAAGACTTCTCAAAGCGCTTCACAGGGTATGCCGTAAAGTGTAATGACTGTGTATTTTGTAGGGAATATGTGAAAGAACATTTTCACTTTGCCTGAAGAGTGCCGTCTCAGGAATCGGCAGCAGAGTTGTTGAAAAAAAGCAGAAGAATTTTGCATTCTCTGCAATGCTCCTTGATCCCACGAGGGACAAGAACAAGGAGAGAAGCCCAGGACTTGAAGGCTCAGATCTTGTTTTACTTGTGGGAACTATCGATTGACCAAAGTTTATTCTGTTAAAATGTTTGTTTAGTTGTATCAGATTATTTCATTTATCTTGCTTAGAAATTGATTGAAAAAATAGTTTTAATCTCAATGCAGATTCTTGGGAGGAAGGAATCACTGATAATAGTAGACAGTGTTTCATGTGATTTTCATGACTCATATTTTGTTATAAGTGATATAGAGTATACCTGTCAGCCTGGCTCAATTGGTAGCACTCTTGTCTCTGAGCCAGAGAAGGGCATGCTTTCAAGTCCCTACCATCCTGTACGCTCCCTCTGCTCAGCGGGCTCTGGCCTGCTTCACATCCCCCGCCTCGCTCACCCCACTATCGGCGGGCGGGCCTTCTGCCACCCACCCCATTGGAACTCCGTCCCGCAGGCCCTCCATCTCGCCCCCTCCTTCGCCACCTTCAAGACCTACCTCAAGAGCCTCCTCTTCGACCGTGTTTTCAATCTCCCTGCCTTCTGCTTTTTTCTTTTTCTTTTCTTTTTATATGATCTTCTCTTCCAGGTGCCAGATGTATTGAGCTCCACCCATTACTCTCAACTCTCCGCAGAAAGTTCCTGCTTCGCCAGTCCCTGATATCGGAAAAAATAATCAAAGGAAGAGTTCAGGAATATTCCTCTGTTCCTTTCAAAGCAAGTGCTGCAATTTTCATTCCTACCACCCAACAGAGCATCTGGAATGAGCAAAGGCCTTGCATTCACCCAAGATCACAAGATGGGTTCAGATGAAAAAGGCCTTCTCATTCCAGGTTACCCACCCTCCTATCTTCCCATCAAAAAAGTTGTCTTTCACATGAGTCCAGCAGCCTATTGTCGTGTATTTGTGAAGCAGTCTCCAGTGGTACTCTGTCAAATGCAAGCGAGAGGACCCAGGTTCGATTCCCGAGCAGGGCGAAACCTTAGGCCACTTTCCATATTCCACACCCCTCGGTTTACCAAGCAGTAAGCAGGAACCCAGTTATTAATTGATTGGCGGATTGCTTTCCATGGGTAATAATCCCTCCCCCCTCCCCCAAAAAATGTGTGCGCTCAATCCTTGGCTGTTTGTGGGACACGGCTGTGCGTAATTCGCTGCTGCGTTTCGCCCACAGAATGCACATTCACAACAGTCAATACATTTTACAATATAATAAGTGAAGCGCTTTGAGATGTCTCAATGGCGTGATAAGGAGCTATATCAAATGCAGGGATTATTATCACTATTATAGATGTCTTTTAGAAGTCTGGATACATCATGTCAAATGGCTTCCCTCAAATCAATAGTGAGATGTGACCTCCACAAAAAGCCTAAAAAGTTGGTCAAATGAGGTCTAACCTCTCTGAACCCATATTGCCTGTCATTTATTAGATTATTTTATGCGGGGCAATTTTTGATCTTCTTTCGCATGATTGATTTGTTGAATTTCCCAATTATTGAAATCTTGTCCAGAGCTGCTAGATATGATTCTATCAGGTTTCTTGAATATGGAAGCCATATTTCCTCGGTTCCACTCAATTGGAGACTTCACCAGCAATGCTTGAGTCACTCATAATGTCTGTCAATGCAACACAAATCTCTCGCCTAGTCTCCTTAAGTATCTTGTATTCAGCCCAATAGTCACAATTCCTTTCTTGTTACAAGCCATGTAAATCTTCCTTTTTTTTATTCGTAATTTGCCTTTTTATTTTCCGGTTGATCTGTATGGCTACGTTTCCGTTTAATTTGCCCTGCTGCACTTGAGATTTGCGCTGCTTGCTCCTTGAAATGTTTTTGAAAGATGTCTACAATGAGAGGATGGTAGGATCGGTATTCAGGAAGCATGAGAACAAAAGTAGTGGCTCGTAGCATAGTGATTAGAGCACTCTCCTCGCAAACAAGAGGAACCGGGTTCGATTCCCAGGTGGGGGCCGAAACCTTAGGCAAGTTTCCTAACTCCACACACACACACACACTCACCTTTGTTTACCAGCAGTAAGTAGACCCGGTTGTTAGTTGCTTGGTGGAGGGCTTTCCAGAGCTAATAATACCTTAAAAAAAATTTGGGTCCTTCAATCCATGACATATGTGGGACATCGCTTTGCACTATTGGCTGCCACGTTTCGCCCACAAAATAGTTCGATCCACTTTACAATATATTCTGTGAAGCACTTTGAGTCTCAGCATCGTGATTAGGCGCTACATCAAACGCAAGGAATATTATTTAGAATACTAGTAATTATTATTATTACTATTATCTGAGTCACTGAATAGCGCTGTGGCATGCAGCAAGTTAGTGTTACCCCACTGGTGATGTGTTGTTACCATAATAATCGGATCAGAGTGGGAAGGAGGAGGTGACCGTAGGTACGGGCGAAGGGGAAGATCTTCAGGCGCGACCTAAAGATGGGGAAGGAGGAGAGGGGGGCAAGATGGACGGAAAGATTAAGAGTCTTCCAGGGTTTCGGGGCGTAGTGGCTGAAAGTATACTAGTTGAAAGCGGATAAATACAATGTCACATAGGAACTAACCTGCAGACCAGTGGACGTCTGACACAGACGTCCATCAAAAGGTTATTATTTTCTTGATTAACGTGCCTAGACAACCAAGGCTAGCCTCTTGTCTTTTATCCACCAGACCATCTTTCTAAAGATGTCCGTACAGAATAAAGAAAGGGGTGAGAGCGAGCGTGAGCTGGTTCATCTGTCACAGTCAGACGGTTCGGTCTTTGATGGCTCTTTGATGATTTAAACCTCTCCGACTCAGAACAGAAATGGCATCAATCTTGCCCTGCACAATCCTGTGTTAATAATGAATTATTTTTGGCTACGCTTTCCGCAGCTAATTACAAAGCCCTTAAAATAGAGAATTGACTGCAAAATACTAGAGGTTGTGGGCTTGGGTTATATCTCTCTCTTCTCCCTACGCATCTCTAAGCTGAAAACTCTTTAAATTCATGAAAAACTCACACTGAATAATGCATAACAGTGTGATAAAGTCAATGTGCTCATTGATTTTTATTTTGCTTCAGTGTTACATGATAATACCACCGCTATTAATGTTAAGCCACTGTAGTGTGATGATTGAACGATGTATGTATGTGAGCGCGGCTACATGACCAGCAATTGAAAATTGATCCTTCCATTTAGCCCATAGAGTATGCAAAGCAACGATGCATGTATCATAATTCTGCCGTTCAGATACAAGCGAAGTGTTTATGCAAAGCATTTCTCACCTTGCAACATTTAGACCCTTTTCTTGAAATAAATAGTCTCTGGGGACCAGCAAGTGCGTGGAAGCTGACTTTTATTAATGAACAAGGCAATGCTCCACATATATTTGTCTCTAAGGGGGTTACTGTACTTTATTCTTTAAGCATCTCACCTCCTTCTCTGTGTGTGTGTGTGTGGTGTGTGTCTGTGTGTGTGATGTTAAACCTCATTACAAAGCGTCAGCCCAAATCAGTTGGTAGACTCTCGCCCTGAGGTTGGAAGGTTATGGGTTCAAACAACATGTCAGGGCCTTTGAACTCATAGTCTAGGCTGATGTTCCAGTCCAGTGCTGGACGAGTGCCACATTGCCGTCAGAGGTGCCGTGCTTCGGCTGAGACGTTAAACCTGAGTCCGGTCTGTCTGTTCAGGTGAAGAGCTCATGCGATTACACAGCAAAACAACAACAACATTATTCAAAAACAGAAGGCAATTTCTCCCAGTGTCCTGATAAAATTGGTCATTCACTTCATGACTGTTTGTGGGACACTGCTGCGTGCAAACTGTGCGCAAGCTGCCTCATTCGCCAACAAAATTCACAGTCTCTACACTTTACAATAAAAATCCGGTCAAGGGCTTTGAAACATTTGTTGGAAACATTTCAAAATGCAACGATTATTATTATTATTATTATTAATAGACCGAGCAATTACACATAGTTTGTGCAACTCGCATAATTCCACCCACGAAAATAATATACAGCCAATCCACTTTACAGTCTATCCTTTGAAGCACTTTGAGCTGTCTCGATGACGTGAAAAGGCAATATATCAAATCCAAAGATTATTATTATTATAATAATTAACCACAAGGTCATGTGCGTCGGGAAAATAATTCTGTGTACTTCAGTTGCAAATGCAGTTGTGCACCTACTGCATTAAACCTAAATTTGTAGGTCCTTTCAAGAGCAGAGCCGGTAATGGAGTTAGTGCAATAGAGTTAATATATTCCAACGTAAAACAATCAGTGTTATTATGGGAACAGTATCTTGCCTGTAACTACTGGGTGATAAAAAAATTTGTATCAATTTTCCTCGTAAATTCTGTAATCAAAACAGCGATTTACTAATGCGGCAAAAAAATGTTTTGACAACTTAACGGCAGTGGAAACAATGAAGTGCTCTGAAGCCTTTCCTAGCGGTGCAGCGTGTGCCGATGCACGAGGAGGAATATTGAGACGCAGGCAAATCCAATACCTTGGACATCGCGGCGAGATTCTTCTGCTAACCCGCTGCAGAGCCTCTGAAAGGCCGCAGGAATCTCAGCGTGTAATTTACTCCAGGGGTAATATGTAAGCTTTAACCACTTTTGGTTTTCAATGGGTTTTTGCCCACTTCTCTGTCTGGGGCTCGCCCAGTCCAAGGGACACCACGTCCGAAAGCTGCCGAAACGAAGCCACTGAAATCAAGCTGATAGTAATAATATTAATCCTCCAATTCGATGCAACGCCTGAAAGCACTTCACAGACTATACTGTGAAGTGTGTATTTTGCGGGCGAAACCTGCGACTGTGGGATGGAGTTCCTAAGGGTGGGGCAGAGAGGTAATAATAATAATAATAATAATAATAAAAGCCAATAGGCCTATTTAAGAAGTAGTATGGTACTGCGATGGGAAGATGCTAGAGGGTGAGATGAAATGAGCCGCATTGTGACCTCCAATTTGACTCAATTCCAATCTTCCACTGCCAAGCATTCCGCCTCGCAACCAGTTCAGCTCCAAGGAGACCTCATTTACCTTTCTGAGCTAAACATCCACTCAGTGGGTTTTATACAAAAAAAAATCCAGGAAAGCTGGGACTCAGGATTCAAGCATTCAGCAGCTTAACTAAGCAGATTGCTCTCTCAATAGAGTGATGTATGAAATGAGATTTCAGCTAATGCAATCACATAGCTGGAGCTCACTGCTTGCAACAAGAGCAACAAATTCTGCACATAACTAATGGCTCTTTTGTTTGTTGTTTTGACACCGAACAGCAATAAGCATCGCTGATGGAATATTAATGTCAGAATGAGAATTAATTAACATAAAATACAGAGACACATTAAGTAGTATGCATACAAACGATAAGGGGATTAAAGATTTCCATAGGGACGCTACCAGGAATATATCTTGAAACAGGGAAATTCGGGCAAAAGTCTTCCGAAAAAGTGCTGAAATCTAGGACAAGGGAAACATATTCCTTTTGGGGAAGGCATGGATGTAATGTTAAACCAAAATCCCGTCTGCCTGTTCAGATGGATGTTTAAAAATAGCAGGTAGTATTCACAAAGAGGAGGGAATTTCTCCTGGTGTCCAAAACTTCTGATGAAACCGATCGTTCACGTCTTGACTGTTTGTGCGACTGAGCGGTGCGCAAGTTGCATTGCTATTTTCACCTTCGACAATGGGGTAAGAGAGGTGCCGGGTACAAAGTAATTTGTAGGTGAGTGTGAGGATCTTGTGATCGACCTGTTCTGCGATAGGGAACCGGTGGAGCCTGGCAAGGACTGGGGTGATGGGGTTGTCGAGTTTGGTTCGGGTGAGGATATGGGCGGCACAGGTTTCAATTAATTGAATTCGCTGCACTTCACAATAACAACCCTGTGAAGCGATTTGAGTATTTTGATTTGATTTTGATGACAAGGATTATTATCGTGCTGAAATTGGTTGACAGTTGTCAGGGAGGCCTAATTTGCGATGCACACTGAAGAGTGAACTGTTGATTTGCAAATGTCAACCGAGTGCCAAAGGGAGTGGAGGGAGGAATGCAGTGATAGAGGTTTCAATCTCCTTCCCTGCAATTTTTCAGGTTCTGAAAACATTGCAATTTAGACAGCAAAACACAAGTAAATAAGTTTCAAAAATATATTATTAATAATAGTAGTAATCCTTGCATTTGATATAGCACCTTATCACACCGTTGAGATGTTTCAAAACACTTTACAGAATACGATATAAAGTGGATTGACTGTGTATTTTGTGGGCGAAATGTGGCAGCAGCGTCCCCACAAACAGCAGTGGACTGAGTGACGGAAAGCGAACTGCTAATCAACTAACAACCTGATTCCTACCACTGCTCGGTAAACAGAGGCGGGTGTGTGGAGTAAAGGAACTTACCAAACTCTCGACCCGCCCGGGAATCTAACTCAGGTCCTCTCACTTGCGAGACGAGAGCCCTAACCACTATGCTATGGGACTCCCAATATGTTCCCAATACATTCAGTGAAAGATACTGATGTATTTTACAAATCGGAATAACACTATCTGATACAGCTCTGAGCGTCAATGCAGGAACAATGTCTAAATAAAGAACATGATGTAAGCGCTCGTATATCTTGGCTGACAAAGTCCCAAAGACAAATTTAGTTTTGCTGACCCAGTAATTGCTAATAATAAAAATAATCCTTGTGTTTGATGCAACCATATGCCACCATGTCAAAACGTCTCAAAGTGCTTCACAGAATTTACTGACGAGTGCGATTACCATTAACACAGCAGCCAGTTTGTCCCACAAACAGCCGTGAAGTGACTGACCAATGTTATCTGGATGATTGTTGGCCAAGGCACTGGGAGAGAGAAACTTCCTTCTCTTTTCAAATAGTGCCACGGAAATATTCAATGCCAAACTGAATAGGCAGGTGGGGCCTCTATTTAATGTCTTGTCCAAAGGACAGCACCTCCAACACCCGATTGGAGTGTCAGCCGAGACTTTGAGCTCAAAAGTCCGATATGAGGCTTGGACCCACAGCCTTATGACAGAGAAAGAAAAGTGCTACCAACTGAGCCAGGCAGTGTTTATGTTTATTTTTATTCTGCTGCATAAATCTGTACTGTTTGATTTAGGAACCTTTTTGAGATCTGCTTTGAACACTTCCTGGCACAGACTATCACACCCCAGACCATGGCAGAACACCAACAACTCACAGAGACTCACGCTCAAAGCCTTCGCTCAAAAGGCTGTGAACAGTAGGATGTCTTAATGGTCATCCCACTCCGCTCCTGTTAATCCTGCTAGCCAATTCCCTAATGTGTAGGGTGGTCTTAGCTGGTTAAACAGTGGGAAAGCTTGCCAGACAGATTGGCAAGCTATGTGATTTTAGCTAATTAGACTCCAGCAGTTACCCCTACACATATTCTAGGGTATTAGGTAAGCAAGATGCATCTCTCCAAGGAGAGAGTGCGCATCCCATTCCAACAATCTATCGCTTTACATGTTTAGGTGAGGGTCATGGAAACCTCAGTTTGGTTTGGATACTCTTAAACACGGTGATGGGTTTCCTCGTGTGTTAGCCACTCGGCTGACTGCAAAAAAAATTATGATAATAATAATAATAGTCCTTGCATTTGATATAGCGCTTTTCACGTCTTCTCGACGTCCCAAAGCGCTTCACAGAACACACTGCAAAGTGAATTGACTGTATATTTGTGGGCGAACGCGGCAGCCAATGGCGCACAGCAATGCCCCACAAACAGTCATGGATTGAAAATGACCAATTTATTATTGTTTTTGGTTTTGGAGGGATTATTATTAGGCTCTGTGTGGAGTAAGGAAACTTGCCCAAGGTTTCGCCCTCTGCCTGGAATTGAACTCAGGTCTCTCACTTGCAAAGCGAGTGCTCTAACCACTGAGCTACAGGACTCCCCAATGATCTGGATTGAAAAGGGTTAACAGTTTAATTGATCAAATCCTCACAAATTCCAACACTTTGAGAAACTAACAACGATGCAAAAGACTAATTAACGGTATCCAGGCACCAATGCCTGATGTCCACGTTGCTATGGAGATTGTTTTCTCTATCAAACCCTTCCCCACTCTCCTCCCTTCAGAAAATCACTCAATCCCCAGACTGGGTCACTGATATTGCACAGTAACAATCTCCTCATTAAAAGTGATTGCAATTTTGAGAGGTTTTGTTTGTTGTTGCATGCGGGAGATCATCATTGACATGTCCAACAATTAAGCAAAAGAAGAAATCAACTTGTTAATTTTCCCTCTGTTATTTTTATCCCGACACTTTGGATGTTTGCTTGTTGTGTTTCTATACTTTCTTTGGACTAAACTCTAATTCAGGAGAATAATAATAATAATAATAATAAATAATAATCCTCGCATTTGATACAGAGCTTTTCAAGTCAGGAGGATGTCTCAAGATGCTTCACATGATTTACTTTAAGGGGCAGTGACTGTTTATTTTCTAGGCAAATGTGTAGAGTTATCAGTTATAATGCAATACAAATTTACATTTATATCGCGCCTTTCATGTCGGAAAGATGTCCCACATAGCTTAATAGTACCCCTGGGTAAATAACCAAGCTGGTTATTATTTATTAATTTTAAAGGGGGAGTGGGGGGGGGGAGTGTGGTTAAAGCTGCCTGGAGGTAATGGCAGGTAGGGCATTGAGGTAAGGGACAAGGCACTGGGGAAGTGACAAATAGGATTTTTTGGGTAACAAGTTAGCTGTTAAAGACTGGTGCCCGAGAGCTCTTGAATGGAATTATTCGGAGCAGTGTGTCCTTTAGAGAAGGACGTCATTCCGATCGGCATCTGAACTCACTGAACCCATATCGAGCCAGCGCAGAAGCAGCAAAGAGCTGTGCAACTGACTCAAGGTATTTGTGCAAGTGCGTAAATGAATGTTAGTGTGGTTAATGGCTGGACTGTGCTGTAGTGAAGGTGCATTAGTTACAGGGCTCAGAGGGATTATTTATAGAGTGCGGCTAAAGCCATTGAATGGGTTCCGAATGAAAATGCATTGCACTGAAGTTGAGGGAGGGAGGGGGGATTCCAAGCTCTGGAATATAATACAAAAAGGAAGTGTTAAAGTGAGAGATGGGGTGGGTGCGTGAGACAAAATGGACGTCTCAGTCTGCCTTACATTCACTGGGATCAAATCCAGGAGGGATGAGTCTATCAACTCAGAAATGCTGCTTTCTCAACACAGCCCGTCTATGAGCCAAAATCACTCTTGAGGAAAAATTCCGTCGCGTTCCATACTTGCGCCATTTATTTAGCATTTCAGAGCATTCCGCATCTCAAATACAATCCTAATTTTGGAGCCGGTTAAAGCCAGGGCAAGATGCTAAAGTTGATCCCAAGGGAGAGGTGGGGGAAGCTTAAAGTCTGTCTGGACTGGTGAGGAAAGAGAACACAGATGTATTTGTATTAAGCCACGTTCTCTGACCTAAGTATAATTGTACGGAGCTACCTTTTTTTTTCATTAATTGCCTCCCATCTCTCTCCTCGGCTTAAAGAGTTTTGACTCCTGCACTCCTGTAGGTGTCAGCTTGGTTCAGTTGGTAAAGGTGCACATTTTGTCAGAAGGAACACGGGAGAGCTCTGTTTATCGTCTCATTCGAAGGACGGCACCTCTGATAATGCAGCGTTTCCCCCAGCTCTGCACTGGAATGTCAGCCGAGACTGCGTGAGTTCAAAGTCCCGATGCAGAGCTTCAACCCACGAGCTTCTGATTCAGAAGCGAGAGCGCTAATAACTGAGTCAGTCTGACACTCAAACATTTGGCATTTAATATTTATTTCCTAACGATCATCCCATTTGTTGTTTGTGTTATTAACTTAGATTCTGTCGGCCTTGTGATCAAGGGAGACATGAACGGTTTCCTTTGTCGTCATAAAGTCCCTCTCGCAATTATCCTGATTTACATTAAACTACAATCCCAAATTTACCCCAAATTTCAAATTAATTGGCTGCTCAATGCATCGATGCTTAGGGGTGTTTATGCCGTGTTTATAAGTGTAACAACATCCACTTCATTTCAAATCAATTATATTTGGTGAAAAGCTTTGTGAAAGGTGCTATATATACCTGAAAGTTATTATTATTATTCATGCTTGACAACCACTATTGACATTGTATTAAATCTGCTGAGCCATAGTGAGAGAAGCTGTCTTTTTAAGTATGGAAAGATCACATTTAATCTTGTGAGGACCTATTGAATTTAGACATGTGGTTTGAATAGTGTCAGAATAAAACGCTGAGCCAATTTGATCACTTGCAGAAAATCTTGTTCTACTGACTGTGACTTTGCTAATAATAATAACAATAATTCTTGCATTTGCATTTCAAGAATGAGGTTGATAGACATTTGTTGTGTAAGGATATCGAGGGTATACATAGAAACGGTGGGTAAATGGAGGTGAGGTACAGATCAGCCACGATCTAATAATAATAATCTTCACATTATCATGTTGTTGAGATGTCTCAAAGCACTTCACAGAATATACTGTAAAATAGATTGACTATGTATTTTTGGGGCAAAACGCAGCAGTTATTCCCACAAACAGTCACAGATTGAGCGAACAAATCATTATAATTATTTATGGAGATATAACATTATTGAGGGGTGTGCGACTAAATGATTAAACTGAAAAATATGTGAATTCTTTGAAAATATTCGGCTTCTTAAACAGCTGCTAATGTTTTTCCTCGGTTATTAGTTTAGTGATTTCAGAAACATCTTTTCTAAACATAAGTTATAATTACTTCTCTAGTTTCTAATCGCCCGTGTCGAGGGCATCACAGCCAAGCCTGACTTCTCCCCCACCCATCTGCCGCGCACGCGCACACACACACACACACACACAAGCGCACACACACACACGTACACACAGAATTAGAGGAAGGTCTTATCGATGGACCAGGAGCAGGAATTCTTGCTGATTTTCCCTTCCCTAAGCCAGCGAAGACCGGCACCAATTTAGCCTCTCATGCGTAAAATGTTAATTGATCAAACTGATAGGGTTTATTAACGAATACCATTAGATTGGACACATACAATATTCGTTGCGATCCTTGCTTTTGATACATAGCCTTGTCTTTGAAACATCTCAAATTGCTTTAGAGGATTTTCTTTAAAGTGCTTTGTCAGTGTAAATTGAGACTGATGCGGCAGCCAATTTGCGCATCGTGATGTCCCACAAACAGCCATGTCCAATTTTATTTGGGGGATTGTTAGCCAGGACACCTCCCTTCTCTTAAATAGTGCCACAGGTTCTTTAACTCCCACCTGAACAGGCAGGTGGACCGCATTCAACAGCTCATCTGAAGGACCGTAAATTGGCAAAATTAGCAGCACTTCGTAATTAGCACATCAAACGAGTTGTAATATTTCAGTGGGG